TAGATGAATTCTATGTTTCTATTTTTGTTTTTAATTTTCATATCCTTGGGTTTTGCTGTGTGTGGGTGTGACACTTAACTATCTTTCCAGAAATGTTTATCACTAAATCCTGAAAAAGGAACCATCCTTCCAGAAATGTTTATCACTAAATCCTGAAAGAGGAGTCTACAAATTTCCATATGATTTTGTAGGACTCTCAAAACCCTATAACATCTCTTTCTGCTAAAATTTATTGGAGTAAGGGGTATATTTGATAAAGACATTAGGTAAAAGGTCTATGTATGCACACAACTGTTATAATGAAAATCCAAGGAAGAAAGGCAATTTTGTAACATTAGAATTTCTATGTGGACCACATTTGGAAACCAGTGTTAATTTAATCCATACATAATATCAAAGGATGCTTTGCTGTGTGCTCATCATCAAAGGAAGCATTCAGGAAAACATGACACAATAAGCCAAGACTCTAATAACCTCACATTCTGGAACTTCAGTAAAAACAGACCAGTACAACACTTTTATTCTATCTTTACAGCAACTTTTTCTGTAACCTTCTGATTAGGCTAAATTAAACATATGTTCAAGTTTGGTTCTATAAATTAAATCTTTTTTTATAAATGCAAAATCTATGTATTATTTTTAAAACCTGTTTTACACATTAGAAATAAGACAGAACTAAATATTTATCAGGCTAAGTTAGGATAGTTTCTTGGCCATGAAGAAATAAGTTAGAAGCCGCTCTAAGTTTTGTTGTAAGAAGAAAAAATTGTACTATTCAAACTAAAATCTCCTGGAACACTGAAAAGACATGTCAATGTGAATATCCCTGACATCCGAAAGAATCTGGATCAAAGGCAAACTTTCGACCAAACAGATGCCAAAAAGTAAATTGTCTTCCTAAGACAGGAAGCTGGCCATTTTCTTTCCTTGCTGAACTTAAATTTTCTGTGAACTACATACCATATATTCTATCACACACAAACCTAAATAATAGGATCATATACTGTTTTCCCTTTTTTTTTATTTTCAAGAGATAGGATCTCGCTACATTGACCAGGCTGGATTCAAACTCCTGAGCTCAAGTGATCCTCTCACCTCAACCCCCTGAGTAGCTGGGACTACTGGTGTGTGCCAACATGCCCAGCTTTCATACACTCTTGTAAATACATAAACATGAGACTCTGGGATTAGAAGTAAAACCTTCATAGAGATGAAGCTGAGGTAAACTGTTATTAGTGACACCTGACCTGCTCTTTTGTGTGACTCAGATTTTTACCAGTTCTTTTGTAAAAAGGGAACAAGCTTCAAATAGAAGAATTGCATGCCTTTTCAATGGTAATAATGGGCTATGTGGAGATATAAATAACTGGCTTATGAGAGACTAAAGATATAATATTCTAAAATCTTTAAAAATTCATAACTTCCAATTCCTTTGCAGGGCTAAAGGGCTATGGAAATAGATATCTTATTCCCAGACATAATGTCTCCCATCCTGTCAGGTAATGAGAGTGTCATCTAGACATTACTTTCAGCAACAAATTTCTCTCAATTTGTTTCCTAGGTCCTAAAAGCCTGATCTCTTATTTGCCTTCTTGCATTTTATTCCATTGTACCCAGTACTCCTGATTTTCCAGAAACATGGGGTTGTGGGCACTGTGGATTGCATTGTAAATTCATGGAACTGAGTTAAATGGTATGACTGTATTGGTTTAAGGCCCATCTTTAAAAAATTATCATGAAATATTTAGGTACACAAAAAGTACAGACTATATTAAATCAGCACCTATATTCCCATCGTCCACCTTAAGATATGAAACATTACTGACACAATTGAAGCAGCTTGACTTTTCTCCCCTGAGGAAATTCTTTGCCAGTATTTGGTGCTTTTCTTTTCATTTATTCTTCCACTATATATGCCCCCATAAACACATATTTTTCATGCTTCAAATTTTAAATATCATATTCTTCTAAAACATTATTCTTTGTTCATCTGTTTCATCCCTATTTCATATGTAGCTCCAAATATTTTTTATTGCCACAGTATTCCATTGTATGCCTATCATATGAATCTATTATTGATGGATATTTAGATTGTTTCCAGGTTCTTACTACTTAAAAATAATAGTAGTATGAACTTTCCTGTTCGCTATCTCACTGCACTAACGTGAGACTTGCTCTGGGATATGCACCTAGGAGAACCATTAGATTATAGGGTCTTCAACATTGCTAGATAGCTAGTTGCCTTCCAAAGTGGTTGTACCAATCTACGCTCCCATCAGCAGATCTGAGGCCCCACTGCTTCACATCCTGTGAGATTATAAGCCCTTGGTAAGCTGGGCATTAGCTTTTGGAATCCTGTGAGATGAGGATACATTCCTCTAACTAGTGCAAGTGCTAGTTACCTCCAGGGCATTTGTAGGTTGGCTCCACGTTTTTAAGTTAATTTGTAGGTTTTGAGGTTTCATGAATTTGAAGGCAGTGTGAATTCAAATCCTGAAGCCATGGGCAGGTAAGCTCATAGTCAGAATTCTCAGAGAGGCCTCTTTTTTTTTCTTTTTGAGATGGAGTCTCCTTCTGTCGCCCAGGCTGGAGTGCAGTGGCCGGATCTCAGCTCACTGCAAGCTCCGCCTCCCGGGTTCACGCCATTTTGCTGCCTCAGCCTCCGGTGTAGCTGGGACTACAGGCGCCCGCCACCATGCCCAGTTAATTTTTTGAATTTTTAGTAGAGACGGGGTTTCACCGTGTTAGCCAGGATGGTCTTGATCTCCTGACCTCGTGATCCGCCCGCCTTGGCCTCCCAAAGTGCTGGGATTACAGGCGTGAGCCACCGCGCCCGGCCTCGAGAGGCCTCTTTTTAAAAATGTTTTAAAAATCAAAAGCACAGGCCAAGTCAGAAAGGCTCCTTGTGGTCTTCCTGGCCAGCAGGAGATTTTTCTTTTCTTGTCTACCCTTGTGCTGAGAGTGTTGGTTATTAAAGAGCTTGAGCATTATGTGCAGAGCTCACTTGTAATTTCATGTTATATGGGCTGAGGGCTTTGAGTGGCCATTAATATCTAAACTTGTTGATTGGGACTGCTACCCTCCTCCCCACCACCCAGCCTCCTGCCCCAGGGTCATTTCAAGCTTCTGGTTTTTATTTTATTGGGAATGAGATTTCTTTCATTTTCTTGTTTAGGCCCTGAGGGATAAGTTTTCCTCTTATTTTCTTATGCCCTTAGCCATATATTTAATAGGGAAGAAGGTAAGGTCCTCTCTCTTTTCATGATTTTCTATGTAAATAACAACTAAAGGGAACACAGAGCATAAAAGTTTTGAGGTTGTATTTATTTCGATATGGAAGTCTTATTTTCCAGATCTGCAGCGTCCAAGAGAACCTTCTGAATGATGGGAATGTTTTCTACTCTCTCCAGTGAGGCAGACCCTTGCCATATGTGGCTACTAAGCATTTGAAATGTGGCTGATATGTCTGATAAACTAGTTCATAAATATTATTTAATTTTAATTAATTTAATTAAAATGGTCAGATATAATGAATGGTTATTGTATTTGACAACACAGTTTTAAATGGTAATATTCTTTGACCCCTGGGTGGGTTTATGTACTGGTAAACCAGTGTTGTCTTGAAAATCTGGTATTTTTGAGGATGTAAATATATTTGAGGATGAAATATTTGAGATGTGACTTTAGAATATATGTCACCACAGGCTGGGCATGGTGGCTTACACCTGTAATCTCAGCACTTTGGGAAGCTGAGGCAGGAGGGTCACCTGCAGCCAGGAGCTGGAGACCAGCCTGGACAACACAGCAAGACTCTCTCTCTGTTTAAAAAAAAAATTAGCCAGACATGGTGGTGTGCACCTGTTTTCCTAGCTATTCAGGAGGCTGAGTCAGGAGGATCACTTGAGCTCCAGGAGTTTGAAGCTGTAGTGAGCTATGACCGTGCCACTGCATTCCAGCCTGGGTGACAGAACAAGACCCTGTCTCTAAACAAACAAACAAACAAACAAACAACAAGGAACATATGCCACTACAAAACTGTATAGCCCATTATTTTGATAATCAGGTATTTCTTGTCTGATCTGTCTTTCTGGGAATTTTCAAAGAGCTACAGCGATCAAGTTTAAGTGCACATTCTTCCCATTGCCAGTTTCTGATCTGAAGTCAGAGAATCACTTTCTGAAAGCTTTTTCAAGAGTATTTATGAAGTAATAAAGTGTGAAGAAATCCTGAGGATAAACAATAAGAAGCATAAATATACATATTTAGAATGCAACTTAATATGCTTAAGAGTACAATTTGGCAGCTGGGAGCGGTGGCTCATGCCTGTAATCCTAGCACTTCGGGAGGCCGAGGCGGGCGGATCACGAGGTCAGGAGATCGAGATCATCCTGGCTAACATGGTGAAACCCCATCTCTACTAAAAATACAAAATAAAAATAAAAATAAAAATAAAAATTAGCCCGGCATGGTGGCGGGCACCTGTAGTCCCAGCTACTCGGGAGGCTGTGGCAGGAGAATGGCGTAAGTAAACCCAGGAGACAGAGCTTGTAGTGAGCCTAGATAGTGCCATTGCACTTCAGCCTGGGCGACAGGGCAGCGAGACTCCTGTCTCAAAAAAAAAAAAAGACTACAATTTGGTCTATCTTTGAACTAAAAAGTTTACTAGTACCCTGAAAATATGTTAAGTAAAAACATGAGTGCATCATATGATTTATTAATAGCATTTTATTAAAAAGAAAAATAGCCTGACCAGGTGCGGTGGCTCACGCCTATAATCCCAGTACTTTGGGAGGCTGAGGTGGGTGGATCACCTGAGGCCAGCAGTTCGAGACCAGCCTGGCCAACATGGTGAAATGCTGTCTCTACTAAAATACAAAAATTAGCTGCGTGTGGTGGTGCATGCTTGTAATCCCAGCTACTCAGGAGGTTGAGGCAGGAGAATTGCTTGAACTCAGGAGGCGGAGGTTGCAGTAAGCTGAGATCGTGCCACTGTACTCCAGCTTAGGTGACAGAGTGAGACTCTGTCTCAAAAACAAACAAACAAACAAAAAAACAAGACAAAACAGTAACAACAAAATCCCAAGCCTACTGCTCTAGGCTTAGAGTGGGCTTACACTTACATTTTGTTTTCTAACTTTCAAAGGGCATTGTATTATTCAAAATATCTCTCAAAAAAATTTTTTGGCCATAGGTAGAGATTAAGAAGACTAAAGCAAAAATGCATCTGTGAATTTTAATAACACATATATGCATATTTGAAAACAAGGCCACATAAGCCTGGCTGGCACATTGGGCCAAATTACTGACTGGCCTTCAAAAATAAAGATTAAAAAAAATTTATCCACATACATTTTTTTATATCCCTGTATAAAATTGATGCCAACACGTTTGGCATTTTAGAAAGACACTCAAAAACAGATTTTTAGAAAGACACTCAAACAGATTCTGGAAAAAGAAATTGCTTCATGGGATGAACAGACTAGGTCACAAATGAAAACGCTAAACATTTGATTTTTAAACCGCACCACAAATTTCCAGATAAAACTAATTGAAACTTATGCTCAGAGATATTGTCACTGTACTTACATGAGTTGAAAACCCGTAAGAACCAAAGCCCCTAAATTCTACTGAATATAATTCAAACATTTTGCCTAGTAAAAAATTTTTTTAACACTCAAAAAATTTTAAAAAGAAACAAATTTTCTCTGGAAAGGATTTTCATCATTTTGAATATATATATTTTCTCAGAGTGTATGCAGCCCACTCTTCTCTTGATAATCTTCATAAAAACGTCTCAATGACTCAGGAATTCTAGGTGTCACAGTGCTCAAGGCCTGAGTGAAATGTCTTTTCATGATGAGATTGGCTTGAATGTCTTCTTCCAGAGCCAGAAGAGCTGCCTCTCTGCAGACGGCTACAATCTGAATTTTTAAAAAATAAGTAAATAAAAGGAGGTAGAAAACAATCAATACTCTTTTAGAAACATAATATTCCAAATATTCATCTGTGGTAACATCTACAACTAAATGCCCATCGTTAAAATTTATCTGCAAGAATTAGTCCACTCAAGTTTTCAAAAAGATAAAAGGTAATCATATACAGAGCATTCTGTTCTTTCCTTCATCCCAAAGCAATGTATTAAGTACTCAGAACCAGGAGTGCCAAAAGATATCTAAGAAGTGGCATTTTCTTTTAAGGGCATTTGCTCTTAACTGTAAGGGTAGGTAGCTGTGCACGCACATACTTTTAACATGGGATAGCAAAGGATGCATGTGTCTATGTGGTGGGGGGAGGCAGGAGCCAATGGTCAAGGGAGGGCAGAGCGGGGAGATATTCTGATACAGAGTGAGGCCCTGCTCATCAACACACCGTGTCATAGCAGTTTCCACATTCCTTTCAACCTTTGATGTATTACCCACATGTAAAAGCATTTCTTTATGTGTATCTCTTTAATGAGTTCTTAAATCTCAGGAATATCAGATAGGGTTGTCAACATTTACTTTGGAGAGCTGCATTAGAACAGAGAAGTGAATGCTGTTTACTCAGCCAGGAAAGCTGGAAGAATTGAAAAGAATCTGGGGAGGGGGCGGAATGGATGCAGAGGGAGGAGGGAGGAGGCAGTAGGAAAACGGAAGGGGAGGAAGGTTCAAGAATCCTGAAATGTGTTTTTAAGCTTTCTGGACTTCAGACAGCGGAAGCAGGCTGATGCCAGTGTCATTCTAAAGACACATTATGGTAGTGAAAAGAGCTTGAGGGATGAAAAGAGATATTGTGATTTTCAGGGCAACAGGGAAAACAGTGATTGATATTGACTGCGCCCTTATATCGGTAAATGAAAGGGCCAGCTGAAACACATTTGTCCAGCCATTCAGCATATTTTCTCTGTTTGTTCACTCACTGAAAAGAGTTCCTCTGCTTATGCTAGGCTAATGGCTGCCAAAGCAGTTTAGTAGCTTTTTAGGGGATTTAGCAGCATGTTTAGGGAGCTTTCAAAAACATGCATAGATTTAGATGGCTTTGTCAAATTACCACAATGTAACTATTAGTTCTGGGCTTCATTAATGAGCACTGAAGTTAACTATAGTGGTTATGCATGTTAATGTTTTTCTGAAAAAAGAGAGTGGCTATCATCTTGTTGAAGGAAAAAACAAAACTTCAAGGGATTAGTAAAACCACTTTATCACATGTTCTGGTGCAAAAAGAGCTCTTTTGAAAACAAGAATGTGATAATTAATAAGCACAGTAAAAGCCTGTGAAATGCCCAGCATGGTAAACTGGCTATCCGATGGTTCCACTGTGTTCTAAGGGGATCTCTACAAAGGGAGGTGAAGGGACCAAGTGGGAAGAGTCCCCTCCCACACCTCTCTGAGCAGCACTTCTTTCATCTGGACAAGAATTTGAAGCAATGGTTGCAAGGCTAAAAAGGCTGAAGAATCACTGGAAGAGGCAAAGAGCACTACATTTCCTGCCAGGTGGCGGAGCTCTCTTTCTGTCTCCTGCATACCTCCCCCAACCTCATAGCTGAGACTCCCTCAGAGAATACAGAGCCTGGCACATAATGGTTGGAAACATTTATTGAGCACCTACTATGTGAGTGCACAAAGACTAATTACTGTACTAATTCATTTGCTATATGACTGATGTCTCCCTGTTTTAGCACAGCAGTGGTCTTGCTAATAGGGGTATATGTAAAGTCAGATGGAAACACATCCAATAGAGTGGTCAGATGAGCGTGTGTACCATGGTGGCCGGGGTGGGGCGTGGAAAAAGAAGGGGGCTGAGAAAAAGAGAGGTAACCAAAAGGCTGCCTGGAACCTCTCAAAGTTTCTGGGTTTTGGTTCACATGGCTAGATGGGTGGTTTGCCCAGCTGGCATATCTGAGGAAGGGAACCAATTGTCAGATAGGCTTCCACTCTCAACACAAAGTAATCAAACCGGCAGAAGAAGAAATGATTGTACTCCTGTAATCACTGGAACCTCAGGAAGCCTAACCCAGCGTGGTAAATAAATGTAGGTAGTGGGAAGTGTTATATCATTAGGGCCTAGAAGGCTGTCCTTAGGGTCAGTTCCCCTGGGCAATTCCTCTTAGAAGATCCACTTTCTTTCCTTCACATTTGCTTCTATAGATTTTTCTCTTTTTTGAGACAGAGTCTCATTCTGTCACCAGGCTGGAGTGCAGTGGTGCAATCTTGGCTCACTGCAACCTCCACCTCCTGGGTTCAAGCGATTCTTCTGCCTCAGCCTCCTGAGTAGCTGGGACTACAGGCGCCCGCCACCACGACTGGGTAAATTTTTGGTATTTTTAGTAGAGATGAGGTTACACCATATTAGCCAGGATGGTCTCGATCTCCTAACCTCGCGATCCGCCCGCCTCAGCCTCCCAAAGTGCTGGGATTACAGGCGTGAGCCACCACGCTCGGCCTGCTTCTATAGATTTTTCTATGAGCTATAAATTGTTGTTTTGTGGTAGCTTACATGGTAGTGACAAAGCAGGTATTAGTGATCAGTTATGGTTAGAGAAGTAGTGAGCACTTGAAGTGTGGATGTTTGTAACTTGGGGCCTCTAGTATATGTCAACATTTGAGAAAAAATTCTCCTACTATATTTAGTACTCCCCTGACTCTTAATAAACCATTCCATCTAGCTTGGAGAACTATGAAACTGTGAGATATAGAAAACTTGGACAGAGTTTTGACCAGATCACTAATGTTTGGATTAGATAGGGATGACCTAGAGAACTTTTGAGAGTTAATGAAAAGAGAAACATGGGTACTCAAGGACCTCATATGAACGTGTCTTCTTCTGTGTAGAGGAAGGACTGCAGCTGTCTGTATGTCCTAGGGTGGGAGAAACACTGCCTGAATTCAACACTTGCTTCAATAGACATTACTCTGTTTATTTTTATTTATAAAGGATGCTCTGAAGAACTAGTCAATAAGGTCATCTTCTTCTGCCACTCTTACTTTCCTATCACATTTACTTAGCAATATACAGCCAGTAACTGAGGGAAATGTAAACAGGACACTACAAATAATTAGCCAGTCATTCTTTCATTAATCAACATCCAGTGAATAGCTACTCTGTGCGATAACTATATGAAGCCAGGTGGAAGATCCAAGCATATCTAAGACTTAGCACCTGTCTTCCCATGCTCACAAACCAGTAGTGGATGCACATAAGTTAAATGCCGTGTGTGCCATGGTATTAGAAGTACTGTCAGGGAGGCAAATGGAAAGGGCTTTAGTGTGGAGAGAAGGAATAAATTACAGCTTTGGAAACCAAAGTGTGAAGAACAGAACTGAGACATGCATACAGGTAAGGAAAAGGACTAGCGGTAATAAAACGAGCAGAAAAACAGCAAGGTGGGAAGAAGAAAACACGGATTACACTGAACTAGCCTCAGTAGATGGGATAATTTTTTTTTTTAAATAATAATTCTACCATCAAATATAACTAAAATTAACAATGATAGTGTTTTCAAAGTCATGTGGGCCACAATGACAGTGAAAGCTAGTCAATGCCAGTCCTCTCTAAAGCTCTGAACCAAATCCACAAGCAGCTGATGCACAAGCAGCTGACAGAGCGCAACTCCTAAAAGTTCCTTTTGTTTTTATTTTTTCCTCATGAAAAGGCTTCTTAGTAGAAATTCCAAAAGCAAAAACATTGACTGGATTATTGGTTCTTTTCTCCTACCCCAAATAAAATGGTAGATCTGGAAACAGATCAATTCTTAGGATGTCCATGATGGCTGGTTTCTATTTGCTCTGGGAGCCACTTACTGTGGCCTGAGTTCCAAGATATGACATAACACCTCCCAAGAAAAGTGCAGCTCTCCTGTTCTTCTCATGGCCCATGCCAGCATTTCCCTTAAGAAATCAGTGTCTGTTCAGAAGTGTTCCATGGTCAAATAAGTTTTAGGCAACACTATACAGGTTGATTATTCCTTATCTGAAATGCCTGGGACATGTTACATATTTTGGAATATCTGCATTTTACTTATTGGTTGAACACTTGTAATCTGAAAATTTGAAATCCAAAATGCTCCAATGAGCATTTCTTTTGTGTGTTATGTTGGTACTTAAAAGTTGTGAATTTTGGAGCATTGTGGATTTCAGATTAGTGACACTTAACCTGTATATATTCTGTTCCCCATGGTGCACAATAGAATTTTAAAGGTTTTACAAAGGCTAGTAATGATGATCAGTTTGATTTTCTTTAAGCCAATGGAATGGTCTGAATGTTTTTCTCCAAAATTTATATGTTGAAACTTAATCTCCAATGCTACTAGTATTAAGAAGTGAGGCCTGTGGGAGGTGATTAGGTTGTGAGGGTTCTGTGCTCATTGACAGAATTAGTACCCTTACAAAAGAAGCCTGATGGAGCTGGTTGGCTCCTTCCACCATGTGAGGACATAGCTAGAAGGTATGTCTATGAGGAATAGGCCCTCACCAGGCACCAAATCTGCTGGCACCTTGATCTTGGACTTCCCAGTTTTCAGAAGTGTGAGCAATAAATTTGTATTATTTATAAATTGCCCATTCTAAGTTATTTTGTTATAGCAGCCAGAATGGACAATGACACTCATTGTTTCCCATAGAACTCTTCCCTTCCTGTTTCTGGCAGAATATCTGTAAATGGGTTACTGGTGATCTTTGGCACATACTTTGGGAGATACCAAACAACTCACTCAGGGCACATTATGGCTCTTGCTTATTAGCATAGCTTTTTACTTTTGCTCTCCCCTGTTCCAAAATAGGAAAAGGAAGGGGGTGGAGGACAGAAACACAAGGAATAAACATATTCTTTGTGTTTCTGAGAAGATGGGGAGAGGCCCGGGGGACAGAAGGAAGGCCAGTGTGTTTAATGGAGTCAAAGGGCAGCAACAGTGGCAGCAGCCAAGGCACTTGTGCTCTGGATATGT